CACCAAATCACACTGCTCCCATCCCTTCTTCCCAGCCCTGAGATTTTAGAGATTCTTAGAGGAGCTAAAAAACCTTCCTGAAGCACGAAACCTTCTGTGAGGCACAAGCAGAGTGCGCAAAAGGGTAGTGAATGCGCACGTGCTGTGCTAGATGGTATACTTCTCTTGGTTGACAGAACTTAACCTCTTCAACTTAAACCCTCGGACTCTGCGGGATGCAGTAAGTTTGTTTGCAAATGTTCTTCTCCGAAGGAGTGAACAGACCGCTTCGGCGTTGTGCCCGGGCCAAAGAGCAATTGGAATGGCGCTGGTGGCAGAAACGCTGTTGAGGCTGGCTCTCTAGCCAGTCCTGTTCCCATTCCAAAGCACGGCCCCTGCCGACATCCGAGGTCCACCCCAATCACACCGTGTTTTCTCCCATTCTAGGAAATTTACTGATCTTACTAAAAAGATCAAATCGCATCTGAAAGGCAAATGCACTAAGCAGGTACGGCAGCACGACACCACTGAATTCATCAGACTTTTTACAAAGTGACAAACCCCAGTGAAAGAGGAAGTAAGTAATTTATGAACTGGGCGCTCTGAAGGATGTATCTGGGTGTGCCGGTGGGAGGGACAGCCCATGCCCGCTACTGGGAATTTTCTCATCTCCATGGAACACAGCTGAGAACAGAAGCTCTCATTTCTGTTCTTCCAAACCAAGGTCACAAGTTACCAGCACAAAAAAGGCAGCGCATCTTTCACATCCGAAACTGCAACACCAACAACTTCATCTCATTTGAAATCCCATGTTTTTCTTTAGGGCACACATGGAAAAGACCAAATTTAAGAAAAATGCTTAGAATACAATAATAAAAAGGCAGTAAGTAGGGCCAACAACACAGCACTTGAATTGCAACTGACTGTACATGTCCAAGGGTCAGCACGTGCAAAGGGTGATGCTGTTTTGAATGAGAGTTGCCGAGTGCGTTAGCCCAATTAATACAAACCGTGTGTGTGTGTGTGCGCGCGTGCGCTGAGACTAACCCACAGGGCATCCAAAACTGGTCAAAGGTAAAAGAGAATGACTACAACTGTTTTAAGACAAAGTGTTCACTTTATAGGTAGGTTGCAAAAAAATAGCAGGTTGAAATTGCCGGAAAGATTCCTCGCTACAGCAGAACAGCTTATAAACACACTCAAAGGCTACATCGTTGGAAACGCGGCATTCACAGCTTGAAACATCTAGCAGGAGACTGGAAATTAACTGTGGTATCACTTGAGCCACCACCTGCAGGTTTTGGAAGAGATCTGCCAACCCCAAGAGACGTCATTCGTGACTGACGCTGAGACAATGCGCCGAAGAGGGACTGCTCTAGTCACACACACACGTGAGGGTGGGGAAATCCAGACCATAGCGCACTTCCTTACTCTTGGAAAGAGCAGCATAACGCTGTGTCTTCCGGGGGCCTACCGGCTGGACCACAGCTTGGACCCACAGGCATATAGGGTTTTTTGGAAAAGGATGCATCATTGGTGAGAGACAGGATAACACATTACCTAACCGGAGGGAAGAAGCTTATTAAACAAGCGTCTGGCTGAAGAACTTATGCACACAGAGGTGATTAATCTCAAAAGATCAACATTTTCAAGCTAAATCACAGGTTCTGCGTTTTGAAGACAGGAAGATGCAATTCCTGCCAGTATTTTTTTCGCTGGGTGCTGGACATTATGCTGCTATCACAAGTAAGACATAGCTGCAAGTCTGATCCCGCTCAGGAACCAAGTAATACAAAGTTACACGTATGATCGCCATTTTTACAGTCCTGAGCCAGGGTCACTGCACTCGTCCACCTCTTCCTTTTGGGGAGCTGACAGGCAGATTTCCCATTGACAAGGGAACACTGCGCACAAACACAGTTCTGACCTTTCAGCCAGAAGTCTTCCACACGACTCCAGATTTCAAAGGCTGAATTTATCCTCCTGGATGTAGAGCATAAGCTCTGCTACAGCTTATGAGGTAAATCCTCCCCTTCCTCAAATTTACAGATGCTTTTTTGAGCAGTCCACATTTTTAAATCCCCATGTAGCTTAATAGACCTGCTGAGATGAAACTGCCGAGACTTTGTACATTTGTTGAAAACATCAGTTAAAATTAACAGTCTCAAAAGAAATCCCTTCTACCCAGCAAATAAAGATTCTTATTTTAGAATAAAAACAAGGGAAGGGAGTGTTCACATAGTAACCTTACTGCCTTGAGCACTGGTCTGCAGAATTCTTTATTAAAAAAAAATAAATAAATTATTTTTCATTCCTTTTTAAAAAGTCCTTCAGAAAAAGGATTGGATTGCTTCTGCAATTTAGTGCTTGTTTCTGAACCACTAAAAGTTAGCTGATCACACTCATTTGGTACTTTTTCCTTTGCTCACGTAAATTTCCTAAAATAAATATTCTTATTTCAGAATAAAAACAAGGGAAGGGAGTGTTCACATAGTAACCTTACTGCCTTGAGCACTGGTCTGCAGAATTCTTTATTAAAAAAAAATAAATAAATTATTTTTCATTCCTTTTTAAAAAGTCCTTCAGAAAAAGGATTGGATTGCTTCTGCAATTTAGTGCTTGTTTCTGAACCACTAAAAGTTAGCTGATCACACTCATTTGGTACTTTTTCCTTTGCTCACGTAAATTTCCTACCGGAAGAGGTGAGGAGCAGAGCAAGCACTGACCCTGCATCCACAGTGCTGAAACACTTTCCCCACCCAACACTACTGAACCTTCAGGCCAGGCCTGTGAGTACAGCATGAAAGACAGCACTACTGGTCATAGTGGGAGCGGGAACGGGGGAGTGGGGAATGAACCCACTTGTAAAGAGCCCCCCCCTTGTCCTAGGACAAGGTTAAAAAAAAAGGTAAAAAAAAAAAAACTTAATTTGCTCATCACCCATTTACAACAACAATGCAGGGGAAAAAAAGAAAAAGAAAGAGCTCTCTTAAACCTGGATAACTAAGATTTAAGAAAAAACCCACAGCCTTAGCTTCAGCTTCCAAGGAAGCTTGTGAGGTGAAACGGGGCCACATGGAAGTCAGTAGGTGATATACAGGATGGCGATGCAATGGTGCCTAAAAAAATAAAAAAGTTAGAAGTGAAAGCAAACCAGAGAGTCAGCTAGGAAGCAACACGACCCCCAGCCATCGTGGAAGTGAAGACTTACAGCAAACAAGTGAAGACGGACCCAGAGAAGTTCTTGAGGTGATTTTGTTAGAGGTACGCTAACAAAACTTTGTGGGATTTTTTTTTTTTCCTTGGAATGGCCTACAGCAGTCTGACACAACGAATGCTTCTCACAGCTTGTAGATTAAAGGTATGATTTTTCAGAAGCATCTAAAGGATTTAGGTGCTTAAATTGCACTGCAGATTCCACAGGAATTTGACCTGTAATGAATTAGACTCTTCTGGAGTGTCCTTGTTTTTTGTTTTTAAAGCGTTCTTTTCCCTTGCAATCTCAGAGAAAGTGTGTTTCAGAAATCAGGATGCGATTAACCGGAGCATCCCACATTACGGAATTACAATGAGCAGGAGAACTAATGTATGCAAATGTTATTTCTGATTTCTGTTTCTTCAGATTTCCTGGAGTCACTGTTAGTTTCTTTCCTGGACAAAGGGGTTTAAGGCTTTCTTGAACTAAGCCCCTCTCTATGTAGCCAACTCAGCACACTGGAAGCACAATTACGCTACTAAGATCAGATGAAATGCAGTGGTGATGCACCAATTCATCATGTTTGGGTTCTTCTAATGAAGCCCATTACTCACAGAAGAGAATTTTCTCAAGCAGTTAGTCACCAGCAGACAGCTTTCCCTGTTACTCCTTCCTTTTCTACAGCTGGTGAATAGCCTGGTCCTCCCCTCACCATCCCAAAAGTGCAATATTAGGAAAAGTCAACACCTAAATTAAAAGTAAACAAACAGTATTTAACTTTCCCTTAACCAAAAAAATTAACAATAAAACAGAACAGCTTTCAGGAGCAAGCCAACCTTTTTCATTTAAAAAAAAATAAAAAAGACAAAAAGAGCCTGCTGTCCTTTTAATACTACTGAAAGATCCTGAATACCTTTCTTTAGCTTATTAAAATAAGCATAAAACCAAACTACATACTAATTACAGCTTGCATAGAAACATTTTGTTTTGTACTTTGTGCAAATCTTACTAAATAAGGCGTGCTTGGGAGCTTAGGTAGCAATGCAGTAGTTATCAAAGAATGCTGAGAAACTGCAAGGAAAATTCCAGGCAGTCTGCAATCCACATCCACTTACACAGTTCATTTGACTTCAAAGACCAACAGCTGATAGCTGCAGATCTGCCTGCAACATAAGGCAATATGGTATGTGTAGGGTCCAGCACCTGCTTTCGGCTAGTCATGGGTTTAATACACATAAGATCACTTGAATTCAAAAAACCTGAGCCGCCAGTTAAAAAGAGGGCTTCAGATATGGATTGGTAAGAACCCCATTTCAGGAAAAAGGAAGGGAAGGGGGGAAGAGGACAAAGACATGAAGAAGCACAACCCTTCACATAGAGGGGTTTTGCGCAGATTTTGCGTCTATTTATATACCCTGAACTGTCCCCATGGGGCAATGTTTCCCCAAACAAACTGTCTTCTAACAAGTTATCCAGAAGAGTTTCTGGAACAGAAAAAGCTAAACCGTTTGCCTCTCTCAGCCAGCCTACAAGTGTCTATTGCAGGAATTCAACAGGAAGCAGTGACACTAGAGAAGGGTGGCTGTGTAAAGAGGAGGAGATGAAGTAGGAAGCTGCAGTAAGAGCAGTATCAGAAATCTCTCAAATAAGTTACGTAGCACAGGGGGAAATTATAAGGCCTAATATAAGGTAACGTGGAATAACATTTTGCCTCCTCCTTCCCCCTCCAAATCAAGTATTTTCAGGAAATATTGAAGTACAACCTTCTTTTACAAGCAGCTTTGCATTAAAAATCTGTTTAAACTCCAAAAGCTTTTTTAAAACACGTTTAAAAAACCCACTAATAATAATCCTCAAAATCCCCCAGTATTTTGTAACATAAAATGGAATGTTCCTGGGCAAGAGCTGCCAGCTCCTTCAGGAACTCCGGGAAAAGGGCAGCTGCGAGTACGGCATTCCTCACGTGCACGGGAAGGCCAGGATGAGCCAGGCCTTTCTTTCCTTTATGTCCCAGGAAAGGCTGCAGTACAGCCGGGTAAGCTTCAGAGAGGTTCCTTCCTTTCCCTGCGTTGCTGCTGTGCTGGACATTACCTAAAGCCAGGAAGAGAGGAAAGGAGAGTCAAGAAAAAGAAAACAAACAAACAAAAGACTCAGTGTATTAAGCACACACAGTACTTTTATAGTGTCCAAACCCAGTTTACAAGGACTGTGTTCAGAGCTGTAGCTTGCAGTACCCAGACCATGCAGGGAGATACTCCACTAATCCAACATTTTCAAGTTCTACGTGGCCTGGTTATATTACATTTTTTATTAGCTATCTTTCCCCAGGTTATATATTATTCGGTTCCAGCTCTGATGAGAGAAATACATGGGCAGAAGAGGAGTCAAGGGAAAGAGTAACATGGATTTACCTTATGAAATAGCAGATAATGTCTACCCATCTAGACCCAGCATGGTTGTCTCAATTTAAATGATACTGTGCTCTAGCCCTCCCCCAGATCAAAATATTGTTTGGACTTCTCTTTCTCTGTCCTCTCCCCATGAATCACCGTGTAAAAGAGTTTGAGGCCGAGCTATCACATCGCCGTGGGAGTTTGAAGCAAGCTAGAAACTAAGGGAAAAAACGTTTGAAAATTTGATTTTTCTACAGCTGTAGCCCCCACTAACTGCACTTACCTTTAACTCCCGGAAAAGCAACTAAACATTAAAAACAGAGCAAATGAAACCCACCGTGTGCTCTGCTACATGATATCTGCTGCCAGAGTTCAGAGGATCAGAGCTCAAGCATCAGAACACATGGAATTACAGTGACAGCAGCACTTAAATTTCAATCAATTGCTCCTTGTTTCAACCTGAAGCAGAACTGCACTTTAATTACATGATAATTAATGTAGTGAAACCGAAAAGGTGACAAAATCTAACACTGATGGAAATAAATACTTTACAAAGAAAAATTAACCTGCAGAACTCACTGCCACAAGATGCCATTGAGGCCAGAAGTGGAGACAGATAAAATCCTGTCTAACTTACAAGGGGATGTTCTCATGAGCTGTATAAGTAATCATTAAAAAAAAAAAAAAAAAAAAAGGACTGCCATATTAACTCATATACTGCAGATAAGCCAAACGCTACATTGCTGCGTTAAGAAGAGGTTTCCCTTCAAGCGCAGGCAGTTCATGTTAAAACAACTCAGTCTCAGGTTACACCACCCTTTTTCTGAAACCTCTCCAAGTAGCTAATGCGAGGACCCGCAGACGAATGCCTCACCTGACGCAGCAGAGCAATCCCTCTGTTCAACAGCTCTGCACTTTTGTTCCTTTCCTGTAGTTCTCCTAAGGCACTGTGGAATTACTGTACGCTTCCAAATACTCGAAAGAAATTTTCATCTTAATCATCTAACAGAGTTGTACTTTTCTTGAGTTTCAAAAAACCTTTCCAGCTCCAGACTTGCCAATCATTCATATTGTTATTCTACAAATTCCTATCTACTAGAGACAGAATACAGGAATTTCAGTTCTGTGGAAAATTCTGACTGTGGGAGAAAAACAACTTAAATTATGTACTACAATGAAAAGATAAAGTTTTGAGCTTCCCTTGAATTTTTTTTTTTTTTAGATTTTCTAACATCAAAATGTCTCATAATTAATATTTTAAGTTTTTTAAATAGTTTAGCCAATATAACCAGAATGCTAGTATACTGTCAAAGCTTTTCCTTTTTTTCTAAACTCTTCCCTTCAAAATGCATCGAAATTGATATATTTCCCTGAAAATCACTCTGATTTAGATTTAACTCCTTATTGGTGAAAAAAAAAAAAAGAAAAAAGCACAGAAAGCTGGTCTAGGGACCAGAGATTTGATTTTTTTCTTTGACCAGCATTGTCCACTTGCATTGTCCACTTCTTTCTAGGGTCAGGATGCAAACTGAATCATACAACTGAGAAAATGAGTACTCTGGAGATATTGCTACCCATGCACTGAAAGAAGGGCAGCATTTCATATGGGATCTACATCATGACAGCTCTACATATCTAACCAGAATCCACGCTACTGTGTAAGGAAACCACACGCTACTGCAAGCAGAAAATAACAAATCGTCCATTTCTGCTCGAACACCTTCAGAGACCATCACTGTCAAGAGAAAGGAAATGCTCTGGAATATTTCGGTTTTACATTTGTGTTCCCCACTAAGTCTGGCTTCCGTTTTTCAGATGTGAATTCTGTAGGAGGCCAGTTATGCTCAGACCTGTAGAGAAAACTTTGGGGTTATTCACCACTGCCGTTTGGGGAAAAAACCCTCAGAGAACAGCTAATTTGCATGATGCTCAAAGGTGGCATTCAAGCTAATGCAAAGAAATCCTACGGGAGTTCCTAATTCTTTTTTTTTTTTTATTTACCATTAGTGTAGGAGTTCCTACCTTGCACTTCTTAATCAATATAATGAACTACTGTGGGTTGATGGACTACTGAGCCAAGTTGCCCCAAGAATTACAGTTTGATTACTTGCATCACCAGTCTTGCTGGGAACCAAGTCTGCAGTTATCCAGACGTTTATTTACACTCCATCCATTTGTCAAGAGGTGCCTTCTTTGCAGGAGTTGCCACAACACAGAAGAAAAAGTACCAACAGGGTGACTAAGCGGCCTAGTTTCAAATTCCTAAATAATGACCAGCATGAGTCAACCTGGCAAAATCTGAAGCCCACAGAAAAAAACTGACGTAAAATAGGAAGTATAAATAAATGCCGCTGGGAATACGTCACATAAAAGTTCTTATTGCCAGCACCTGAAAAAAAGGACTCTAAATGTTGCCTCCTAATCTCATCTCCCACATGCTAGCTACAATGCCATCTAATTGTAAGCTTTTCTAATCTATGGCACCAGAATGTAGAGCCTAAAACACTACTGACATACAGGAGAAATACACAGCTCCTTTACAGCAGGCACCTTTCACAGACTAATTCTTTGAGAAGCAGCCTTAGCAAGATCATAATTTTACAGACTAGATGTACTGCAAACCTTAGAAACACATACCATGCTGACTAGCAACTAGGTAAATTATTATTCAGAGCCTTGAAAAATGAAAACACAATTAAAATGGCACATAAAAAGTCTCGCTTTCCACACCTCTGGAAATCCAAGAAAAGTATCAACATCTTCACAGAAGTGTAGGCAGAGCTGGTGATTGTTAATGACTCCCAATGACGAGTAAGCACGCACCTGTAAATGCAGCCTCTTGAATCCGGTTGCTGAGTCAGCTCTTAATCACTGCAGTCACTGCTCTCACCAAATTTGACACATTCCCATATCGTGGGAAGTTGGCTTTTAAGGGAAACCTGTACCCAACATTGCCTGCTCAGCAGCAAGCTGAGAACAAGCACGTCCTCAGGGCAGGGCCCCAACTCTACCAGTTGCCTGGCTGCATCTGGAAGGTTCTTAGTTAGAACATAAGATTCTTCATTTTGCTGATTTTTACTAGCTTCCGCCACAGCGGTGTAAATACTGGTAACTGTGAAGACGGGTGTAGCGTGCACTGTGCTTGAGAAGCAGCAGATGTTACAGAAGTCCCCTGGAAAGCTGGCTTGTTGGGATGATACCCGTTTAATTCCTCACTGCTCTCGAAGTGTCCTGGCTTTTACACCCACCCCCCTGGAAAGCTGGCTTGTTGGGATGATACCCATTTAATTCCTCACTGCTCTCGAAGTATCCTGGCTTTTACACCCGCCCCCCCATCCCTTCTTTCTTTTTTTTTTTTTTTTTGTTTTTCATTTAAGAAAGCAGATTCAAATTTTTCTGGCTAGTATCTATCTCCTCCAGTCATAGCCCAAAGCATGATACGAAGCCTTATTCAATTGTTGCAGAAACCAATTCATTCTGGACTTCGGTCCTCCCTAACATTTATCAAAAAAGAACCAATGACTAGCTGAAGGTCAGGCTAAAAATAAAATGAAATCATGCACATATGCCATCTCACCTCACGCCTTGAAAGCAAGTTTGTTTACAGCCAAACTGACAGCGAGCCAAGAGCTGATTTTGTTACTCCTTTAAACAGACATTTTCTGTAGCAAATAAAAGCTTCTAAAGAGCAAAGAATATCCACATATCCATATACTGTGGCCTACTGAGCATCATCAGTTTAAAGTCAGAAGGATACATCTGGTTAATGGTATTCACACCACACCTACTTTTAATCATTCTGTAGAAAAGGAGAGAGGTAACTGGTGAGTCATTCCAGCCAGCACTCCTCCAAGTGTGGTTAACACTTACCTTTGGTTAGCAATTCTTCTGCAGCATCAGACATGTCCACACGAAAAAGCAAGTACTGTTGGGCCTCCAGGAGAAGACCTGGGAAGTCTTTTTCAATGGAAGCAAAATGTTCAATTTTATTTTTCACAGATGCCAGCACCTGCCAAAACAACGGTAACAATTACTTCTTCTTCCCTTGCTCCCAGTGCAGCCACAGACTGAATACTCAGGCTTTCTCTAGCTGCACTAAAACAGAGTTACGACAAAAGTTATGGTCATACAGAATTTCCAGTTCTTTGCACAAATGTAATTAAAACATCGAAATGATGTGAGAAGCTCTCAGACAGGTGGGAAAGCAACAGGTGGAACTGAAAAGAACTAACGTAAGGTTTAATGAGACACCAAAAATACTGTTCCAATAGGCATGACTAACGCTTGTGGTCAAATACCTGATAAAGTGACCGCACGCTAGGCTGAAACACCATGTTGGCGTTGAGCAGAAAGGAGCGAAGAAGAGGCTGGGGATAACTTGCCAGCTGAGTAATAATCCCAATAAGCAGCAAATTTACATGCAGGGAATTCTCCAGCATGTTCTCCAGCTTTGACAACACTACGCTGATGAACGGTCCTGCAAGAAAAGAAGGAACCAATGCTTTTGTTTTCACAGAAGAAAAATCCTAAGATCCAGGAAATAGGCATTTAAAAGGAATTTTGATCATCATAACCAACCAAATTAGACCTCCCACACGCTAGTTAAAGCCAGCAGGGAGAAAAACCAAACTGTATCTGAACAGACAAAATGGACTTAACAGAGGTGTTACAAGCTTTTGTGATTAGAAGTGCTTTCGCTAGCTAGCCAATCAGTTTACATTAATGGCATGTTTAACATGCATAACTATTCTACTTTACATGTGCCAATAAGGATTTAGCCTAGTACGTAATGGTCTACTCTTCTACTCCCCTTGAAGTTAATCGGAATGGTACCACTAGTTTCAATGCAAACAGAATCTGCCCTTTTTACTCTTGTTGTGCCTCATTTCTACGTAAGGACTGGGCAAAGTAAATTATAGCTAGTTTTCTTGTCTTATCAAAAAACTGTGGTGTTCTAAAGAAAATATGAAAATGCTACTCTAAACATAAAAATCAAGACTGTGATAGTTCACATCACAAGAAAAGCCATTTTCAGTACTCCAAACAGTCATACAAAGCAGGGAAGACATTGAAATAGATTTATAAGCAAAACTATTGGTAGACATAGGCTTTATCATATAAATGTCACCAATAAATAATAGCTTTAGTTTGTGTATTCATGCTGCAGGATAGCCACTGAAATACAGAAGCATTTACCATGAAAGTACATAAACCCTTAGTGCTCAAGCTTAAGAAACCCTTGCAAGGCTGAACATGACTTTAACCAAATACTACGTATCGTTAGACAATACAGCTGGTGAGATGCTTGAGGCGGTCTGTGCGAGTGACCTAATCACAAATGAAGTCTTAGAGACATCCCTTGTCCCACACCCAGTCCCACCACACTATTCTGGCTGCGTAAAAGCTAGGGAAACCACGCAGAAGAATCCCTGGGTGACACAGTTACAGCACTGCTAACTTTGAATATCCCACCCTCATCCCCGGCACAAGATGCGTGCCACGGGCATTTCTAGGGTCAAGCAGGTGGCCATAATCCAACCCCATTCCAGCTCCCCTCAGCTAGCAAACAGCTGCCGTTCGACCTACCTGGGCATAGTTCAGCCCAGTTTAACATCCCTGCTGTAAACTACGGGAAAGGCTAAAGCAATTCTGGGCCAGCGCAACAGTAAGCATCAAATCGAAGTGCCTACGTTGCCACTTCACCTAACAGAGCTTCACTAAAGGTTGAAGTCTATCATGTTTTATAGCAACCGTGAGCACAAAGCAAGCCCTCCCTCAAGACTCATCTATCATGGCTAATGCCGGCACAGCTCCACTCACAAGAGGGAAGGCAGGAGGGCCAGTGTTGACAAGGCTTTTTCCTTTCAACCACCATGTCAGCCATAGAGTGAAGGTTGGTATCACATCCTGCAGGAATCCCCCCTGCCTGGGTACCCAATGGAGCAGCCCCAAAACCTTTCGTTGATATACAGTTTCTCCTGTCCCAACATAACCTACTGCTTCCCCTCTCATGTTCATGGAGACATTTTCACAGAGCTCCTGAGGACCACAGTGCAGTGGGAGCTCTACTGTATCAAAAGGGATGGCAGGAGAAGGAGTTGAGATGTATCACTCTTTCTCTCCCCTAGGTCAGACTTCAAAGCTGAGTAGAGGTAAAGCTGAAGCTAGATACTTGTAACAAGTGCTGTATGCCACTGCAAGAGAGGTTGCCAAGACAGATTAAAAAATTTCTCAGTGGTAGAGTGACTTTTTCCCCCAAGAAATTATTGGAATGAGAATCAGAAGAACTAAGCAGAGTTTGCAAGCCTTGTAAGAAACAGGGTAAACAGATGAGAAGTCAAAAAATTATTCCTTTTCTGACTGTGCATCTCTATGTGACCATGAAGTCAAGCACTGACTGGGGGGAGGGGGGGGAGGGCAGGTAGCAGAACGTAAATTCCTGTTCCTGAACACCACATTCTTGCTCAGGGAAAATAGGGATGATAGCGTTTAATGCTTTTAAATTGGACATAGACACCAATAGGACATTTTCCTTATAGATCCATAGGCCTGAAGAGAGCATCTTTGCACTGCTGACACTTACTGGTTTTGGGAACCTCTGTCTGGTCATTTGATTCTGCAGAGAGAAGCCCCATTCCATGACAGCATCCCAAAACAGTGAAAGCAATCAAAAAATCCTTATCACACATACCTACAAACATAATATAGCATTCCAAATTAAATATATTATTATATTTGAAAGACACTGCAATCTCAACATGTCTGAGGTATTGTTATGAGCACCTCCTTACTTGCAATCACTAAGATCTCCATTAAAGCAAGGTAAACAGCCTAAGAGTAAAACATGTTGCTGGAGCCAACAACAAGGCTTTTTGTGGTGGTTTGGTTTTTTTTTCTTTGTTTTGCTCGGTTGTGGGGTTTTTGTGGGGTTGGGGGTGTGTGTGTGTGTGTTTGGTTTTGGTGTGGGTTTTTTGGAAAGGAACAAATGGAGGGAGGGACTAGATGAAGAATGAGAGACAGGGACAACATTTTTAAGCTACATTTGACAGCAGATAATGGGAAACAGAAAGGTTTGAATGTGATTAGCTTCTGGTACAAGGAAATTGCCACCACAGCAAAAATAGCAAATTGATTGAAAAACAGGCTGAATTTTTCAATTAAGAAACAGTACCAGGCATGCTGGCCACAGCTGACCAGAAAGGGCTGCATTTCAATGGACACGAATGTTTTCCCCCTCCTTTCAAATGAACGCAAAGCCATCTTACGGGGGTTTTGTTTTGGATGAGGAAACCTAGATACATTATTATTTTTTTATTTTTTGCATTGCTGTGGTATCTAGGAGACCTAATTAAAGATCGGGAGACCACAGTGCAAGGAGCTGTACAAACACAGATCAAAAGTCCACTCTAACCTCCGGTAGCACTGTCATTCCTGAATGGCCTGGGCAGTCTGCGAAGACCAAGCTTAAATTGCTGCCTGGCACAAGACAGAAAAGCATACCAACAGCGAGGGCAGACCTGACACTGGAGGAACGGATGCCGGGGAGAGCATGGAGACAGGCACGTACAGACATGGCACCAGTGCTGCCACCTCGTGCTAAAATGTGAAATAGCAGAGAGGAAAAAAATGGCAATGTGATACCACATCCATAGCATCAGAGATGAAAGCCACCAGAAAAACAAATTATTTACCTGGGCTCTGCATATTACAACAGTTACTCCAATCCCCTTTCAACTGCAAAAGCTTTCTCTAGGTTGATGGAGTTCTCACATGGAAACAACATAACCCCTGCTCAAGTTTTTAAACAATTAAAAAAAAAAAGCTGCCCAAAAAACCCCTGAGCAAGCACCATTTGCTGTCACCAGCAGTCACACTGACTGCTCTGCTCTACTTTCACGTTGGATCTCTCACTCTCCTTGGACCGGTCTCAGCTCTTTGGGCTATACCCTCTTTAGTGCCAGGACTGTTCTTGCTCTACGCTTGTGCTGTGTGTCGCACAGTGTGATCTCATTTGGCCACCTTTAATCACCATGCCATCCTGCATTTGTTATGTATGTAATTAACAGGACATTCCACCTGTAAATGGAGCACTCTGGCTCCTCGCAGCATGCTTGGGAGAGAAATCCTCCTTTGGTCCAAAGGGAGATGACATGCTCTCCACAGAAGGGGTGTCTGCTGAGAAATTCTCAAAGTCCTCCTCCTCTTCTGCAGGAGAGACAGGGTCAGGAGTATCCAACTTCTGCTCCTCCAAGCTTGTACTGTTTGGATCCAGCTCCTTAATAATTTTGTCATACTGTGCAATGAAATCCTCACCATCTGTGCTCAGCAGTCTTACACTTAAGTTACGATCTGCCTCCTGAGGAGAAAGCTTCAACTCTAAGTCTGGCTGTGGATCAATCTCAATCATTTTCTGGTTTATTTGTTCTTTCATTACACTTTGAGTCAAGCTGGAATTTCTCTTACTGTGCTCATCCAAGTCCATTTCCAGCTGGCTCTTTGCAAGAGGCCCATTGACTACAGTCTGGCTTTGGACCTCATGTTCTCTGGCTACATTTAAAGTTTTCTCCTTGGAGTTGTCATCTTCTTGAGTATCCTTCTGGGCACATAACCTGTAAACCATAACATCATCCTGAAAGTCTGATTCCTCTATGTAAGATCCTTTGATGAGCATGATGGCATTTTTTTTCATTTCTTGAATGTGTTTTGGTGGCTCTGCAGGTGGCTGCATCTCTGTGCTTCCCAGTTCATCATACGGTTGCGGTGAGCTCACATTCGAACCAGGAGAAATCCCTGTGTCATAGCTATCATCCCATTCTAGCTCCAACTGCATCTTCTCACCGAATGGAGTTACTTGAGAGGAGCTACACATGCTAGGTGTCCTTTGCTGGAGCCGAAACATGGGGTGTTCCACATCTGTACTGTTCTCCTCAGCAAGCGTTTGGATAAAGGTGTCTGGATCAGGGTTTACTCCATCATACAAGGCAGACCAAACCTTACAATCTTTCAGACACTGGAGGATGGCTTCTTGAGCTTCCCCCAAGTACTGCAAGTAGCTGATGTCCACAGCTCTTCCATATTCCACAATGCAAGCAGATTCAGAACAGCGTCTACCAGAATCTGAAAGTAAAGAAGATTACTCATACCGTAACATAATAAAACAACCCAAAAGTTGTTTGGCAAGGCAGCCACTAAGACATGGCAGGTAGAGTCTTTAGTCCCAACCATCCAATAAGGCAGGAAGATCAAAGCACAAAGATTAAGAGATTTGCTCATAAACATACATGACTTGCTCCTAGTGCCAAGACAGAGCTGTAACTCAAGATTTCCGAGAGACCAGCCTGCATTCAAACCTCAAAACAACAGCGACCACTCTGAAGCAGCAAGAGTTGCAGTCATGTATTACATACATTACTTTCACGAATGCATATTCCAGTCAGATAGCTGTTAAAATAAGGTTTCAATAGACCTGGACACATGGAAGGAATTAAATAAGCTTTCCAGTCCAGGCTTGCCCAGTTTATTTTTGCCTACCACATTTCCTCCTCCTCCCATCCTTCCCAACCTCCTCCCATGAGCTGCTACCAAATCAAACTCAGTTCACGATCTGGTCTTCCCCTGAGCACCAATTACCTTTAGTTTGTGCTGCTTTTGTCCATAGAATATAATCTTTTCCTTGGCTTTCAAGTGCCAAGGTGATCCCAGTGGAGCAGCAGATTGGTGTCAGGGCAAGCAGTTTTGAAGCAGATACAGAGTAACAGTCTCTCTCTTTCACAGCCCACCTCTGGCTCAACATCATGTGGTTACATGGGATCAGATACCTGGAACAGCAGCGTCTAGCATTACTTCATCATCCTTTCATGTTAGAGAAAGCAACAACATACAAAATTCCCTTCCCACCTTCCTGCCCTCTCCAAATTAAAATAAACAGTAATAATAATCTTGACAGTGATCCATATTCTAAACCTCTCAAGAGCATGAAACCCTGACTCTTGATATTGTGAAGCTACAGTTTGATGAGGAACTGTCAAGACAAGTAGAGATAGGAGATCAGTTGCATCAGAACGGGGAAGTGAACGATCCTTTGCAGGTCAGAGCAAACTTGCTGTAAGAAGGGATGGAGGAAGCGTGAGATGGGCAGATGCCAAAGGCTGGCAGGGTGGTTTGGTCCCACTATGACTGAGTTCTGTCTCAGAATCCTTAATTTATTCGTTTTCCTGGGAAATCCAGAGAGAGACAGTTTACGTGTACCAGGCAAGCAGACAGCAAAAAGGAGGGAAGGGTCATCAAGGTGTTTTACTGCACCAGATCAAGACTGAGCTCTCAGGCAGAGGAAGGAATAAGCTACGGGGAGTACAAGGAATAGAGGAAGCACAGCCTTCTTTAGAGCACTTTATTAAAAGCCTCAGTGTTAACTGGACTGATGTTTTGCCATTTAAAATGCAAACAAATTCTAAAGGATTCCCTAAATAAACAAAAAGAAGATTAAATACAGCAGTCTACCGCTGTTAGAGTGGCAACATACTTGAGTTCACAGAGGTCCTAACAGCATTCCCAGACACAACACTCAGGGCTATAGCGAATTTCACCTTAATGCCTGTGGGTGGAGGGACAGACAGTATCTGAAATGTTCATGTGATCTACGGTGCTAAAAGCCCAATTTAGTTACACCAATATTTCCAAATAAATAATCAATTCTCATCTAATACACACACCGAAATTGAAAGTGAGTATTCTGAAGCAATGCATAGAACCACCAGTTAAAAGCAAAAATAATCAATGCATTTAGTACACTATGTAACAATCTACCTCAACAGTTCAGGAACCTGCAGTATTCTCGGTGAGAGAGGAATCAAAAAGGTAGAAAACAACAAGAAAGAAGGTGGAAGCTGCGAACAAGTATATAGCTCTGTATCACAGTGTATAATACACTAGAGAAAACATGCAGGAGAGAAGAATTATACATTTAGAAGCAGGGAATAAGCAGTTTGGAGGTGATAAATATATTCTTAGCTTCTCTTCTCTCACTTTTATAGAAATAAATCACAAGAAAAATCTCTCGCTCCTGAAGATCACAGGATGTAAATCACACTTCTTCAGGTCTGGTAGACTTCTGTCAGGATCATAAATATTCTTATCTCTGCAGTTGCTTTGATTTCTGCTCTCTTGGAGAACTCTCATCCAGCTCTGCATCCATATGCAGAGACTGTATGTCCCAGAATTAGGATGAAGAGTGGAAAAAGGAGTTTGGGCTTTACCTTAAAACTAGCTGTAACATCACATCTTCACAATGCAAGCCAATGAGCGTTCTGAACAATGCCAAGGAGACCACACAGAGCTGGAAAATGATAAATGTTGTCAGTTTTTCATCTGGAAATTGTACCTTTCCAATCTTCCCTGCATACTACATTACAAAATGGCTCTGCCAGAACATCATGCTTTGTAAGACACTGTTAGTATGATATTTCATTTTGTCAGCACCCCTATGGGATTTCTTTTAAAGTTGTCTAGAGCTATACACATAACATTTTACATTTTAACAAAATACAATCCAGAATTTTCCTTCAAATAAGCTACTAAAAAAAAGCAGTAATTTACCAGTCTTTAATATTATTCAAATTTATTAATTTAACTCAGCATGAAGTGAACCCTGTAACTTCCAAGATAGTGTGTTAGTTTTTACCTCTGACATAGAATTTGAACTAACTAAAGATCTTTTCTGAAAGAAAAGTTATAAACCACCTCAAGTTTCTGTTGTTTTAAGTATAAGGAATGGTTAGTGTTCTACACATTAAGAAGCTGAATGCTTCTATACATATAGCTTAATGTACTGACATAGACCAGGACTAAACAAGTCAGTTTTATCGGAATCTACTCCATATGGAGTCTTCACAATCCCTCCACTACAGGTCACTTGAACGGCTGGGAACCATAGCAAGGCATGAAGATCCTTTCGGTGAGACCAGGAGAAAGGAAAGAAAAATGGGATTCCTCATTGGAACTGCATGCTTGCCTTTTTGGCAAAGGTCTGATCAAATATACCCATAACTAGGTATTTCAGTAGTCACACTCAGCAGAGAAAAAAATTATACCCATTCTGTGATAGGCATCCCACTTTCACACTGGCTTTAGACTTATGACACTTATGACTAGAAACATGGACTTCTACAGGCTTTTTTTGGTCACTAATTAGACATACAATGCTTTCAAAGCTATCGTACAGTACATTTCTACCTGCCAGATGCTTGCTAGACCGCATAGTTATGTCCAACATGGTAGAAGCATGAGCTGTAAGCTTTTACTGGTTTTCACGGACCACAGCACCATCATCTCCCTGCCTCTTAATGCATATTTCCTTGGGCACATTCTCCTGCATTGCTCTCTCCTAGAAACAGTACCTCACAGCTGGCTTAGACTCCAGGACCAGGATGACTCCTGTGAGAATTATTTAGCATAAGTTGACCCTTTGTTAGAGTTTCAAGTTGGTGTTTAAATCTTGCCTCTCCCTATATTAATTATGTAAACTCAAATAATTAATATATGAAATTAATTGCACTTTTCAGTAGCTAACAAAAGAAACAGATCAGGACAAAATAAGAAAGAAGCTACAGATATTTCTCTACCTCATTTTTTCAGTCACTGAACATCCTTTGTAATTCATTCAGGATTAAATCCAGCACCCTTCCTGGGCATGGCTTCTCCTCCACACTATGGAATTTCCTCCTCTTTGCAGTCACTTCCCTTACTCCCACTGTTAAAATGCTCTATTCCAGCTCTGCAGCAGCATATTGCTATGTTCCTCTCGCCAGCCCATGCTTTCTCAAGAACGTCAACTTAAAGACTCTTTGTTTCACCCTTTCCAGTTCCCTCTTTCAGACAAGTGACTCAGCTCCCCTACAATATGATTGACTGCCCATGGTGACCAAGACCAGATGAACGCGTATATTTCTTGAAAAATATATATACATATATGTATTTTCCCTTACGTGGTAGCTATATCTGGGGAACAGTTAAACAGCAAAGTTTAAGAGAACCTCACTTGATAGCCTCTGAAAAGCAAAAGTTTCTTTGATTGCCTTCCCTAGTTTGGTCATTGAACTAGAACCCAGAGAAGAACAAGAGAAAGGGAAAAAGCAGAGAGAAGAGCACCGGGGAACACTCATGAGCTGGCTTGCAGTGAAGCAAAGTGGAGCTCAAACTTGTTGCCCTGCCACCACTGGCCACTGCTTGTGCTAGGAGCCAACAGGAAGGTGCTAGTTAGTCCAAGACCTCACGTCTACAGAAATAGATGGAGAAAGTAAAAGGGCAAGAGAAGAAGAAATAACCAGAACTGGAGTTCTTAGTAGGAATAGGAGTTGAAGAGCTTCACAACAAGCTTTTGGAAGAAGCCAGAGCCTTGCATGAAAGGTGTGTTTTAGCCAGGGGACAGAGGGAAATTCTTATTTCCTCTGTGAAATTTACTGAGAGCCAAGTCTAACTTTTCTTCATACTGTGAAAGTTCAAAAAAAACTGCTACTGCCTTAAATTTTCCTGTATTTAGAAAATTTCAGTTTATAGGGAAATATTTCTCATTTGTCTTTGCAACCATATTGCAAATCAGGAATCATCTGAATAAGTAAAGCTAGTCTATTTTTGTATTTTGTGAAAAGAAAAGATTTAATATATGCTCAGGAGACAAAGAGGATAGTATTTTTACAAGTCCCTTTGGCCACCTGTCTGTACATAAGTTTAACCCTGTGAATTATTAACAAGTATTTTCATCAATAATAACGTATGCAGCTTTTGTGCTACGGAAACACAGAAGGCTGCAGTTCTGGTTTTTGCACTCAGCCAAGCTATACTGCAGAAAACTCATTTAGCATCACAGAACCATTTTGGCTGAGGTCCTGAGTTGCTCAGGGCTGCAGAATTCTTTACAATTCCCATCTCGTTTGCCTATGGAACAGTAATTAATGATTAGCAGAGACAACAGCATTTGCATTTTTGTTGACAGAAGCTGTTTCAGTTTTCAGAGTGAATCCATCTTAGAGATGCAGTAACAGCAGCATATATCCGTATTTGCACGCACTCACATTTCAAAACAAGTTTCAGATGAAGCTACTGTCCCTAATACACAAATTTAATGCACATGCTGGTGTTCTGACTTCTCTTGTACCTGCACTAAAACAATATTCTTTATTTCATCCATGAAGCTGTGCATCACACATGATTCAGCCAAGACTGCCAGCCAAGCAAGGCTCAGAAGGGTAGTCCAGTGCAACAAGTAGTCATTTTCTCTGCCAGAAGATCCAACTGTTAGCAAAGGTAAGTCTACTATCTCTGTCAGCTAGCTCCCCAGCCACTGTGGTGCATTGTGCCTAGGCTGAGAAGGGGCTCACTGCAAATTTGAGATAAACCTTAATACACAGGGGAGTGAAGGCAAAGAAGAAGCAGCAGCAGTCTGATCACTTGAGCAAGAAAGCACCTTCTTTTAATCAAAGAAGAAAGCAGGCAACATCACAGTTAAGCAAACATTCTACAACAATACAGATTTGATTCCTGAGAAATATGTTGGCAATAGTGCAGTTCACAACTTGGATCAATTTGGAGACATCCTTATAGGGCTCCCATCATCTCCCACAAGGACTATTTGAAAATGCTTGTTGCTTGGCAAAACTCCAAAGATCAAAAATGCTCCTCACCATAAGTATATTTATAAGTCCCAGGGTAAGTTATCTATGGCAGCACTAATTCAGCAGTATCCAGAATAAAAATGCTTCCAAATTTACCTTCTAACAGAATCCAGACTTCCAGAAGCCCTCATCTCCCTCTATCCCATTTCCTGTATGTGTGAAACCACCTCACACATTTATCAACTTAAAAGGAGAAGACAGAGAGTAAGAAAGGCAAGAACAGAAAAGTACAGGTTGAAGCACTTACTAAACAGAAAATGGATGATTTGGATGTCAGAGTACGTGACTTCAAAGGAACATCAGAATCAGATCCAGTCTCTAACAGTGAAGGAAAGGTCCTTAAATCTCAAAGGCAAAACAGTACTCATATGGGTAAGTTATTTAACAGGTCTGCAGACTTCTCCTTCCAGGTCATATTACTGGATTTTTTTGTGGTGGTTTATTGGGAAATAAGGATAAAGTAGATGAGAGACATTAATGGATTCCTAACTGATGTTTCAGTTGCACAGTTAGGTTTGGGTGTATACAAGGCAGTGAGACAGAGCGTCTTCACTCTTCTTTTTTTTTTTTTTTTTTTTTTTTTTTCCCTTTCCCCCACCCCCCCCCAAAAAAAAAAAAAATTGAGGGGGTGGAGAACTCACACATTTGGGTGGGGGGAGAAAATTCCTAGTTAAACAGATACCCACTGAAAATATGGAATCTCTCATTTAAATATGTAACCTACATCCATGCTGAGTACCTGAACTTCCTTCCTGCTTGTCTTACCCGGAATGGTGTGTTGATTCGGCTAGTAAGTGTATCGAGGATATGCACATTCTCATGTCGGTGCAGCAAGATAAAACGGAGGAAAATCTTGAGGAGGGCTGGCTCTGAAACACTACGCAAAAAGAGATCCAGGTATGCAGTAGTAGTCATCACTTCTTCCACAGTCACCTACAAGCAAAAATAGTGTAAATGCAAACATACTGCACACACAAAATATCCATCCATCCTCTGCAACTGTATACCTGGCAAACAGTCTAAGCTCTCCACGCATAACACCGCCACAAAAACATTGAGGTCTTTGCTTTCAAACTTGCAAAGAGCATGCTTCTGAATGACTCACGAGCATTTTGAATCTATTTCTAACCCGTCTTGCTTCCCCAGGAAAAAAAACCCTCCCCCAAACTGACACCCCAAATCTCACACATACTGAAGTACAAAGAGCCAAATCATGCTAGAAGCTCCCCACCACCTTCTGCCTGTGTCAGCTCTTTTGCATCACACTTCTGTCATCCTTCAGAAGCATTTTCAGATGTTGTGGATACCTGCGTTGACCACTTTATTAAAAATAAATGACAGAGCACAATCAAAGCACAGTACAAACTAGGTTTGGTTCTAGAGCTTTAAAGAAAAAATCCCCATAGCTATCCAGAATTTTGCCACAATTTTCCTTCTTTTTATTTTCCCACAGCACAATTCCTCATCTCACTGAATTTTTAAAAGGAATATGTATATACATACATACACACACAAACCAAAACCCCAAATCTTCACTATTGACTATTTGTATGTCAAAATACAATTCAAATATCCATGTGACATTTGCATACCATAACCCACACTGCTCTGCTTATGGCAATCCTTTGGAGCTTATTTATTCACAGTATGCACTGGCAAAGCACAGAAAATTCCAAAGGCCACCTCTGCACCATGCACTGCTGTTGCAAAGTCAGCTTTTTGAAAATAGTTACCCAGGAACCTAATAAGCTTAAGTGCACAAAGATAAACCCTTAAATACAAGAATCTGCCTGTATGAAAGGAAGTATTAAACATCTTTTGTTTACCAAACTTAGCTGGATAAATGAAAAGACTGATTTTATTAAAAAAAAGAATCAGAGCTGTCACTTAAGAGCTAAGAGGATTTAGAAAATACTCAGAAGGGCAGCATTTACGTAACATGCTGTAAATATTAAAATCCCTGTTCCATTATGCTGCATGTTAGCCACGTACACAGTAAGGTCATGCTGCAAATGTTCTCTTTAAAGCATTTAAGATCACAAGCTGCTTCTGGCTGGTTACACAGAACATAGGAATGCTGTATGCAGCCTGCAGACCTTATGGAGAGGGGGCACCAATGAGGAGAGCAGAGAGAAGCTCTGAAGTTAAGGTCATTGATTCACTCGCATTCTGAGGCTTTATTCTAATACTCAGCTACACCATCCTTAGTACAGTGGGCTACTAGCTCATTTTGGCATTAGAAACAAAGCACCAGTGAAGTAGCAACAGTCGAATTTTTCACCAGGATGGGAAATAAGTTCACCTTCTTAGTTTATTGCAGTAAGGTTGGTCAAAATCAGCATTAAAATATAACAGTGAATGGAAAGGAATGAGGCACACTTTCACAGGATCTGCGAACTTTGTAAGGCTAAGTAAGCAATAGCTAGACGTATTTTCTAGATCTGTAGTTGTATGTTCAGTGCTACCAAAACCAGAAATGAGAATATAGTTCTTTCACAAAATAATATCTATTAACATATACTCCAACTCAGAATACAGTTTATTAATTCATTTCTCCTCCTTCCCCCACAAGCATCAATTTTAAAAAAAAAAAAAAAGTTACTATATTAAGCACCCCCAAAGTTACAAATTGCCAGAATTAGCACTGTGGCTACAGCCCTAACTCAACTTCTGTATTACTATAAACGTGATAAAACAAACGTTCTTATGCACATACGCACACTTTTCTGTAGGACTACTGCCACATTTCAACCACCAAAAAGCCTGCTCAGGAAATGAGCCAGGGTTGTGCAACAAAGAAAATTGTTTCTGGTTGGAGCCAAAAAAGGGAGATCTTTTTTTTTTTTTTTTTTTTTTTCAATAGCCAAAAGGTGTTGGGACTTGTGGGGTAAAAAAGAATGGCTTTCTGATGAAAGCTGTTGACTGTTGCCCTGAGAACTGGCTTTTTTGTTTTGTTTTTTTATAGCAGCAAACTGTAAAAAGCAAAGCCCAAGAAATCCATCATGTGACATCATTATGATAGCATACAGTTCATCAAAGAGTTTAAACCCTCTGCCAAGGAAAGGCCAGACAGAAGTAATACATCGTAATGTCTCTGTGCCACTTCTCCTTCATCCTTTATGGGGAAAAGGAAGCACGTTCTTGGCCTGTGGGTTTCACAGATGTTCGCTGACAGCAGAGGAATGGGCCTATGTATATGTATAAAATCCCGAAGCTGTAAATGAAAGCAAGAAAAGCCAGCAGATTCACAAGGGCAGTGACCTTTTTATGAAATGGATGCTCTTTGGACAACTCATCCTACATTTGTATCAGCGAGAGAAACCCATATGCTTTTCAGAGTGTGTATCATGAGCAAAACAAAAGAGCAGAGGAAAGCCAGCTAGAGACTACTTTAGACAAGAAATGTTCAATTCTGAGAGTATGTTCAGTGCTCCTAACAGCTTGGTAACTAGACAAAAAAGGAAATCATGTTTACCATAGCCAACACTTGACTGATACCACTAAACAGAGCTAGAAGCACCAACCAATGATTAATGAAACCCAAAGAATTCACAAAGGAGTTACTTATAACCTTGCTAAATCTTAATTGTTTGAACTGAGGTTTTCTGTGCAGGGTGCCACATTACACTTAATTTTTAGTTCTTCTCGAGAAAGAAGTTGCTGAATCTGCTTAACCATTTTCTGAGAAAGAGGGAAGAAGACTAAGTTTTGTCAAGATTTAAATGGACTTGTAAGAATCTCTTTTCATTTTTCAGTGAAAACACACTGCCTTATCCACAACACTCCCTCAAACTTTCGCAATAAATGAAGCTAGGATCTATTTCGCAGCTCACTGTGCAACACTCGAAGTAGACAAGTTAATGCTGTACAAGCGATTTTAATGCTATCGTGTTCTAGAAGTTCCAGTGCTCTCTCAGCGTGCCTTTGTGCACAACTTGTCCATACGAACCAGCAGAGAGACCGTCCTTCTGCTTCCTCACAAAAGCAAATAAAACAAAAATACTGCTTTTCGGCATTTGAAATGAAAGCCACATATGCAGCTTAGGAAAAAGATCAATTAATCTGGCAAGCAGACATCTGTGCTTTTACACTTATATTTTATTTTGCCACCCTGCATTCTGGGTTTGCTTCTCCCTTTTACCGTATCTGACAGTAAGTATAACTTCTGAATATTTGAGGCACCTAGAGAAGTATTCAAAAAGGCTAAGTTTAGCTCCATGAGGCTAATTTTCCTTTTACTCAATGGGATACATTACCCTGCTCTGAATGAGCCTCTAGAGATCTCACTTTTTTTGCAATTAACTAGAGGAGGACGTTGGAGAAATCAGTTACACTAGGCAAAATCCAGCCTGGGCAAAAATCCTTTTAACTCTGTAAACCTTTTCTACAGATCACATTACACATAATACATTGAGCGTCGAAAATGAGACTCATTCAATTTGTGCAGTTATTATTGAAGATCTCTGTTTTCTAAGATACCAAAGCCATGCTATTAAGCTTCATTCACAGTACCTGCTGCTTGTCTCTCCTTAAACTAATGTCTCGTGAGACAGATTTGAGGAAAGTAGGGAAATCTTTTCTAATAAATTCAAATCAGTACTTTGTTAAACAACGAAAGAACAAATGCTCCTAGAGAACAAAACATTTACTACCCGTGTCAAGCACGTCCACTACAGTCAAATCCTGAGGCAGCTTATAAAAACTTTATATCATTGTAAACATTGATTACAGTGTAATTTGTCCAAGTAAGCTTTTAGCTAGCCCTCAGAATTGAAGTGAATGTCTTTGAGAGAATGATAAAAAACAAGCCAAAACTTTCACACATCCACAAATCTGATATTTAATTTGAAAATTCTTCACCTCTGATAAATCAAGTATCAAGAAAAATATTATAACAAAGGGAGATGAATAAAATTAAGACATGGTAGTTTTCTAGAAAAGCCCTTTGCTAAGTGAGTAAATTTCAAGCTATGTTTTTATAAAGATATTTCACCAGTATTAAAATCCACCAGTGCCACAACAGCAAAAATAAAAACCCACCAGCAGCATCCCTTTCTACTAATAGTAAAGACTAGAGATATCTCTGCTCCTAAGATAAAACTGTAGGATTGAAAATGAAAAATGAGAAAAAATCCATATCCATTGCATTAATCAGACCAGTATTCTACCATTTCTATTTTCAGTATCCATAGTTGTAACAATTAAAATTTATTGGAATTTTTTTCAATATACATATAAATTTAAAGTGTCTATCTGAAGATATAATTTAAAACCTCATCCACATGTTTTTCTTTACAACAATCAGTTGTTACTGATATTTTTGAAGATGTAGTCTGCTACAAAAGGGACTACCTGAGATTCTTCATAGCCAGACAGATATTTGATTAGAGATTATTGAAAACAGAAAGCTGCTTTTAGCCTTGTAATACCCTTCTCTAATTACGCAATAATTTTTAGCAAATCTTTTCTCGCCTCCTCTGATGACTGATTAGATGGTGAGGCAGAACACTGTAAAGAGATCCAGCTTTTACAAGCCACTGTGCCAACTAATAGCAGAGAGCCAGAAATTACTGTCATTGCGAGTTCAGTTTAATATATTACACTCACTGTGTTAGACCAATTGCACTGATTTTTTATTACTGGCTATTTTCCCTTGGGATCCACACAATATATTTTCTAATTTACAGCTTCATGCCCTCTTACAGGAATATGGCTATCATGATTCCTCCTTTCCTTCATGTTTCCCTTCCTTACAAAGATTTCATATTGCCTATGAAAAGACCACGAACGTTATTAGAACTTATCCTCTAGATCCACGAGCAGTTTAAACATGAATAAGCCCACCTCACCGGTAAAAAATTCCAACCGTTCCCACTCTCTTCTCCTTTCTATTCATTTTCAGCTTCTTGCCCCCTGCTTATACTGGCAGAAGG